CTGCCGACCGTCTCTAGCGCCTTTGAACGTCGGGTCATCGGCTTGATTTTGCAGTGGGCTGCTGCGGAAATTTGTATCTCCGCGTCTCCTGGCGTGCCTCTCCTCAGGCTTACCCTCCCTCGCAGCGCTCTCTCCTTCAGGCTGCGAGGTGTCTGGAGGGCCTTCAGGGGCAGCTGCTGCGTGCGACGTGCGCGCGCAACGCAGGTCTTGTATTAAGGAACGCGACACCAGAAAAAACCTCTGTGCTAGGACAAACTGAAGCTGGATACGGAGGCACCGTTAACGGGACCTCTCTTGCTCGTGGTTGCAACAGCACGCTCACGCCCTGTTCTTCTTTTTTCCCCCGTTTTTTTCATCTCTTGCCTTCCAGCTACGCAGCTTGTCTCAGCTCTAGTGATCATCCCCGAGTCCTGTATATCTGTATGTACTGGAGCCAACATCTTTCTCCCTTCGGTTCTCTCAAAGGTGAAAACAAAAAATTGCCCTTCTGCTTCGTGTCCGTTTTTGAGGCGGTTCCCGACGTGTATAAAGCCATCGCTGAATTAGCCGTCACTAAGCTGCGAGTGAACCTCGTGTCCGCCTCCTTGCTGCGGCGGCAGCGTCGGGTGTTTTAACTTCTCTGACGCCTCGCTGTGCGTGGTGCTGGCAGTCTTATTGTTCGTGAGATGCCGCCACCCGCACCGCTTGGTTTATGGTCTTTTTGCTCCCGGGGTAGAGCTGTCAATGAAGTTATAAGATACACCCGTCAACGACTTTGCGTTAAATACGCTTAACGGTGGGGCCTGGAGCAGCCGTGTTTCAGCTGACGTCCGGCTGGTGCAGCGTGCCTTTGTGGAAGGGGCAGGGGACAGCCCAACACCTCCTCCCCTTCCTCCGTGTGAGGAGGACGCGCAAGGGCTGGAGACGCGTGTGATCCCAGCGCAGGGCTGAGCCGGCGCTCGCCAGCTCCAGCGAAACCCCGTGCACGTGGCCACACATCCGCTTAGCTGCCCGTCGGCCGGATTTGGCCCGGTAACTCCTAAAATCATAAATATTTATCAGCACTGAATCATAACAGGATTTAGGAGGCGTCCGCCCATGTATTTCTTGCGCGTAACGAAAGAAAGAGACGCTGCCGTAAGATTAAGATTAAGTATAGCTCTTTCTCCTCTTTGACAGTCATAACCCAACTCTTGAGACGTCGTCTGTCTCTTCCTAATGAAGTGTCAGAAACATTTACCTTCGGGACAAATTGCAAGGATAGCAAACATCCTTAGTCTGCGCCGAAGGAAGGTGGTGTCAGCAGCTCACACGCTCTCTCTCGTGGTCCTGCAAAGCCGAGCGCTGCACGGAGCGTCGTCGAGGTTGAACAGCGTATAAACGGTGATAAAAAGGGGCAAAGGGGAACCAGCAAACTGAGTATATTTGCAGTTGCCCCCTGATGAAGTGGCCAAGTCCCTCAGGAGCTTTTGCAGCTGGCTTTGTTCATCTGGGTGTAGGTGATTCCTGAGATGGAAGTAGCCTGGATTGTGACACTGCTGAGGCCGTCTGCCTCTCTGGAGTGCCCGTGAGTTCTCTGAAGGTCTGAAAAATAACTCGTAACCTATCTGCCAGCGTTGGGTATCTGGATTTTAGAGGCTGTGTGCCTAAGGTCGGAAAGTTTCACTGTTTCCCTGAAGTTTCGGTTGTGAAACTCAGCTGCAAGAGATATCGTACGGTTGCTTCTGAGCAGTTAGACTAGCGCCACGATGTTTTTTCGGAGAGACTGAAGTTGTTTAATGCCTGTGGCTGTAACGCTCCCTCTCTGCTCTTTCAGGATTGCCTGGTGTTGGCATTGGTCTTCTCCGTCACCCTAATTTGGACCCACGTTTTTTTTGACCCTAGTTAGCATACTTGGCGTAAAACACTGAAGGTGGAATTGATTTCCGTTGTCATTAAAACAAACTACTGTTAAAAAAACATATTATTCTGGCAAGGTGGAATTGGCTAGCATGAAAAAAATGACAGGCTTACAGCCCGACTAAACCAATCTAATAAATCCCTTCTAACAAAGAAATGGGCTTTTTATTGGGAGGGCGTAATGCACATCTCACGGGGCACCTCCAAGGTGCCGTTAGCAGGGAGCTGCTGTAAATCTTGTCTCGCTGGGTTGAAGACCCAGCAGGAGCCAAATGAGAGCTCAGATTAGAGCTGTGACCGTGCCTCGTGCCAAAATACATGCCGTGGCGGGGGGTTAGAAGAATTAGGGTTGTGGAGTTTTTTATTTCTTCCTAGCTCTATAACCATTATGCAAAGTTAGGCACAGATAAGCTAGTGCTTCATGCCAAATTGATCTTGTCCATGTTGTTCATTGCTTCAAAATGAGCTATGGTGTACGAGCTGTACTTGCCTGTTCTTAAATGCATGCACCGTGTGTTGTTTTTTGTTTTTGTTCTTAATGTGAAGGAATGAAATGATCGTTTTAAGAAAGCGACCTGGCATGGCCATGACATGCTTTTCGTAAGAGATTTTTTTTTTTTTCTTGTTTCTTGGGCAGCACATATATGGTGCGCGATCCTATGGATTGCGCTGAATGTTATCTTGTAGTATTGTGTTACGTCTGCTACTGTAGGCAAAGGCTGTGGTGTAGTATAGGCTTTCTGATCTCATGGTTGAATAAATGAAGGCTGTAGAGCTCCCTGAGAACAGCTTGACAGAGTTGACCCTAACAGCACCAAACAAAGCCGTTTTGACTACTGCTGTAAGCTGCAGTTTACGTATCTTCAAGGATGTTTGATTTCTGTTACCACTCAGTGTTTAGATGTTTCGTTAGTGACAGATAGTCACAGGAGACCTCTTAGTTGTCATTCTGAGATTTCTTTGCCTTTGGTTTGGCCCGAGTAGTGGCCGTGGAATATTGAGTGCTTCTCTACTAATTTCAGAGCGCAGAAGAACAACAGGTCGCGGGATAGAGAGGGGGGGAAGGTCCCTGAAGTCGATAGGGTCCTGGGGGAATTAATGTAACGCGCTGGGCGAGTCGGGCGTTTGTGCAGTTCTTAGAAGCACCGAACTGAACTCGGTGCCGAGCCCGGCCGTTTAGCTCTCAGCTAGTGAGGACTGTTGGTTGCTTGCATATCGGTCGGATTTTTTTATTGATTTTTATTTTTTGGTACGACCACTTCCTAGCTTATTTGTGCCTTGTGGCGTGCCTTCACGTTTATGTGGTTTGTCAGCAATTAGCTTGTCAGGAGGACAGCCAAAAATGAGCCCATTTCTGAAAATCCATTTGTCAAGCATCCTGTCAGCTGTCTCCTCCTCGCCTGGGGGTAGTAATCTTAATTTTAAAAGGCAAAAAAAAAAAGTGGGGGGGGGGGACTCCGTAACAAAAGCTCTTCAGCACGTTTTCTATTTATGCATCTCCTAGCCAGAGTAGATAAAGCTTTGTCAATTTAGAGGAGAACGAAATATTTTAAGTGGTCCTTGCGTCCTTTGTAAACACTTTTCTCTCTTTGACCGCGGCCCAGCAGCCAGTGCCACGGTGGGAGCTCTCCCTCTTCTGGGCAGCTCTGCAGCCCGTTTCATGCTATGTAAAAGCAGCCTTGCTACCTCCAGCTACACCAGCCCAGATATTACAGTTTAAGTGGAGCATAGTCCTATCTCTTCCATCTGGTCCGACAGCAGTCGGAGCAGCTTGCAGAGCGCCTGCAGCTTGGAGCGCCTGCATCGTTCATCTGGCGCAGGTATCTCCTGATGGTGATGCGCTGTGCTGCGCGGATCTGCCTCACCGCTATTCCCCAGAAATTATCTGAAAATAGAGATAAAATAGGAGTTGGTGAAGTTGCCACCTTACAGGTCTTGTTCACTGATAGCGAGAAAGCAATTAATGATGATTAATGGCCACTTATCAAAGGCTTAATGACCTTGCACAGAGAATGCTTTTTAGACAGCCAGTGGAGTATCACCATCAACAACTCTTGGTGCTGCCACGAGACTTGACGAGATTTGGGTGGTTGTTCTTTTGAAATGCATGATGAATTATGAATTTCATACCACTCCCTGAACCTTTTTGATGTGGGTCCCCCCCCCCCCCGCCCCGTTAACATAAGCTGAAGCCGCAGGCTTGCAAAGCAGTTTGAATACTTTGATCAAAGCCTAATAGATGCTGCTGTCCCAAACGCTGTGTCGCTGCCCAAATAAGTGCCCAAAGGAGTAGGCAACGGTGCAGGTGGTAACGGGCCGCCATCCCTCTGCCCCCTTGCTAGAGGGAGTGCACCAGAGCATTGTAGGGGTCCTCAGAAACGCTTGTCTCTGCATGTGGGGATTGCCTTTGAACAAAAGCACGATACGCGCAAAGGAATAGATCTGGAGAGGCATGAGCGGAGCGAAGCAGAGTTCTCCGGCGCCGAGTAGATGAAATAACTTAGCTCCCAGGGCTGCCTAACTTGTTTGCAGGACCGTTTCCTACTTCTGCAGCAACTTAGCGATGGGAGAGCGCAAGGGCACGTGTCCTGCACTGTGTCCATCAGCTCTGTGGTGTAGCCTCGTAGAAATACCCGTTTTTGAAAAAACGGGTGATAGTGCTCTAAAATAAACGCGCTCAATCAATGAGTGTAGAGAATGCCTGTACGGGGAGGAAGGGCATTCTTGTTGAGTAGCTGTGGCAGCGTGCAAGTGTCCTTCTGTTTTGTTCTTTTTTTCTTGGATATTCAACATTTGGCGACGAGAATTTGGCAGCGAGGGTTTCTCAGAAGTAAACTGTTGTTACCTGTTCAGTTAGTTGCAGACCTGAAAAGTGCTTGCCTTTTTTTGGTTTAATGCCAGCAAAGGAGAAGTTGCTGCCAAAGCAAAAACCGTAAGCAGCAAAGTTAAATGAACCATTTAAAGTAATAGCGATATCTGCTCTCCAGGAGCTAATGCTTTAAACTTTGGCATGGAGGAGATTCACTGGACCGGTATGCAGCTTTATTTAAAGGGCAAGGTTAATGGTTCTTTGCATGCGTATTTACTCAATTTGTCTCTACTTGTTTTCTTTTTCCTATTAGGCTGATGATAAAGACACAGGGAATTACAGTGCCATGCACTACAGGCTCATCATTCCTCCAATCAAGGATGGTAAAGAAGGTTTTGTGATTGAAGCTTATACAGGGCTCATAAAAACTGCTATGCTGTTCAAAAATATGAGAAGATCCTATTTCAAGTTTCAGGTCATTGCAACTGACAATTATGGGAAAGGACTGAGCAGCAAATCAGACGTACTTGTAAGTATGAGCAAGGCTTTAATTTTTTGGAATAATTTCGGAGGAAATGTGGACACTAAATGAAGTTCTCTCCCAAGGAGATGTATAGGATGGTCATAAATTGCGTGTACGTGATCTTTTGGGGTCACTGGAATTGAGCTTTTTTCAAGTCAGAAGGCTTTCTGAATATCTGAAAAATACTTGCGTGTCTCATGGCAGATCTGGTCTGATCTCAGCGCTCTAGACATGACATTCGGTGTTTTATTTACTCAGTGAACCGTTGCTAATGGTTCTAATTGTTTGCCTTCAACATTGCATAAATTATCTTCAGGCTGTTGTTGCCCCAGCTGACAGCAAAAAAAAAAAAAAAAAAGGACTCTCTTTGTGCGATATGAGTACAAAGCAGGTCATGTCTCCATGGCAGGACAGAACCCTTTGCAGATCTACTCCCATCTATTTTTTTTAAGCCAGCAAGGTGCAGCGAGCTCCCGTTTCGAAGCTGTGAAGCAGGCTTGGCATGGCATTAAGCCTAGAGCTAATAGCTCACGCTGAAGACTTTTGATAGCTTGGGCTCTACTCTGCGTTGATGTGGCTACGAAGCTTCTGGATCAGAGTTAGGTCTAGTCCGCCTGGCTTGCACCGAAGGCGTAGCAGTTGTATGGTCGCCTGCGCTCTCCTATGCGGGCGCACTCCAGTTTGTTCTGCAGGTTTTCAGGACTTTCGAACAGCTGAGCGAACAGGCTCTGAACATCAGAAATCAGGTAACTTAACTGGGGGAAGCCAGGGTTACTATGCTGCAGTTGTTTGTGTCTGGAAGGGGGAAGAGCCAGCGAAGAATTTTGGGCTGAGACTGTGCCTCAAGTTTTCAGAGAAGCCCGTTTTCAAAAATGATGCCGATTTTGGGCCCTGAGCTCTTTTCTGTGCTGAGTACGGGACGTTGACTTTGGTCAGTCGCAGAAAGCCTCAAAGCTTAAATTCTTGAAAGCCTATGTAACTTGATGGATTGGATTAATATTAGTATAAAGTTAATAGGGATGAAGCGCATTACCTTGTCCATGCGAACACTCAAGTGATAGAGATGACAACCGTAATACCTGGTATATTGAGTTCTGCAGGAATTCAGCAAGTAAACATAATGTGCTTGACCACCCAGAATGATAGGGCATTCCCAAGCCATTTAAGCTGTAGTGCTATATTAAAATGCAGCCAGAAGTTAACCAGCGTTAAAAATAAAGTGTGAAAGTATGTCTGATTAATTTATAGAGACATACGTAAGTAGTCTCATTATAGGCGCTCTCGTGTGATAAGTTTTTGAGCAAGGCACGAAAGCTCAGAGTAGCTGTAGACATAATTACAGACTGGTGCCATGCTAATGTCTTAAGTTTAGCTTGGCAGTGAGTGTGATCCACGCGTGAAGACCACCTCCTTTCTAAGACTAAGCTGTTCCTGGGCTTTGTGGTCTGAACAGAAATTATCCTGGTGTCTGTCAGGAGATGCTGGGGTGTCAGGCTCTCAGACTGGGAGCTCTCACTGCTTCCAGCGCAAGTGCAAACAGTGTGCGGAGTTAAAAGAAATGCAATGAATTACTCTTGTGCAAAAGGGTAAGATGCAGGGGAAGAGGGTAGGCTGGAGGAAGGTCTAGGGAGAAGAGGTGGGGCGAGACGGGAGGACGGCCCAACGAAGGCGCCTATAGGAGAGCAGAATGTCATCCCGAATTGAGATCAGGACGCTGCCTCAGAGCCCCAGCCCCGCTTTGCGAGCAGTAAAAGCTGCCAGCTCCCTGGCAGAACGTTTCATGCTGTAGGGGCTGGTCCACGTGAAGGTTACCCATCTACTCCTGCTGGCTGGTCCTGGTTGGATGACTCTAGCTAGACCTGTGGGGAGTTAAAGTGTGGTTCCTTTGGATGGAAAATCACTTTTTAGCTTCTTCAAGAAGAAAGTAAGCGCTTAAAGGTACTCAGTAAAGGTTACTAATGAATATGCATTATGATACAGCCTTTAATCAAATGATTATCAAGGGCGGGTTTTTTGTCCGCTTCCTTTCCCCCTGCCGCAAGACCCCCAACCTCATTTAGTTCTCAACGTGGACTACTCCAAGGGATCGGTTAGTGTCACATAACGATCAAGACTGCTGTTGGGGGCTCGGGCTTGCTCTTTTTGGAAACAGGAAGGTGCCTAGTGAAAAAAGCAGACAGTCGAAGGAAGGTCACTTGCTGCCTCGTGATTATGAACAGCTATATGCTTTTCCCGCCTCTGCTGCAAACTTCCTAGCTGTGGTGCTGCTTCAGTAATTTAGCCCCACATTTTGCTAATTTTCAGCAACGCGTTTTTCAGCTGCCTGCGGGCTGGTCTGCAGAACTGTGGACAGCCTAATAAGACCAAAGGAGAACACTAAGTATTGTGAACATCAAGCCTTACGTTCCTTGGGAGCTGGTGACCGTTGACAGCATTGTTCATTCGATGCCTCTTCTCCCGCTTCTGACATGGAGTAAAAACACTCTCACGCACATGAGTGTTGCTGGGAGACTTCCACCTATGTTTTCAAACTAATCAGGCACCGTGCTGATAGTATGACGTTTGGTGTTCAATGGGTGACAATCAGGACACGAGGTGTCTGAACGAGCTCTAGCGTTGAGGCCCGTGTCTGCTTTTTGTCATCACAGCACTTGACCGTTTCCTTGCTCAGTAGACTGGCAACAGCAGCAGCTTTCCAAGGAACTGAGCGTTGGGTGGGCCCCAGTGGCAGTGTCCTGAGAGGCCCCCGTGGCGCGGGGAGGACTGATGCCCCGGGGAGGGCCCGCGCGTTCCCACGCCTTCTACCTCCACTCCCAGCGGGGCTTCCATCTCTCCTCGGGTGGAAGTGAAGGGACCGGTGTCTTCCCGCAGCTGCTCTTAACAGCCGTACCGTTAAACTGTACTTAGGGCCTCCGTTTAGCACTAATTTTAGTAACTGAAAAGGGACAGACCTTCCCAAATGTGTATGGCAAGCAAGTTAATGTTCCTATGCAAACCCTCATGTTTCCTTAATTTTGGTTTTGCACCCTTATCTCACTAGACCTGTTTATTCGTATTTTTGTATACGAACAAGCACTCATAATTTTGTGATCCGTTGAGTCTCAAAAGAGTAATTGCCTTTTTTTTTTTCTTTTAAGCGCTGCATTTATGCGTTTCTCAGTAAAGAGGCGCACAGTGATTGCTTGAATTGGCTAATGTAGTTAATTCTATTAAGCTGTTTGTTGCTTTTCGAGTTCCTTTTTGTGACCTTAGTCTAAAATTTATTTTGAGTTTGCTGCAATTCTCTTTCTCTCGCACAGGAGTCTGTATACGCCGATCAGTGCATCTGATGACATTTCAAGAACATTTAAAATGTTTTACGTTGAATTAAGCCGCAAAGCGGGTGAATCGGTGTTTGATGTGAAAGGATGCAGAGGCTTGTCTGCTGAAGTGCTTACAGGGCTCAGACTTGAAAACCCAAGGGTGTTTTATTTTTGTTCCTTTTAGAATTACATTGACTACTAAGTCTGATTTTTTTTAAGTGTTATTGGGTTCTGCGTTGTCCTACTTCCCCAAATTTAGCTGCTGCTCTATAGAGCCCCTCTATAGAGAGGTGGTATGGGGCGTAACGATTGCCCGCGTCCGCATCGTGGACGTGAGCAGAGTTTTAAGAAGGGTTTTGCTTTCCCCATCAAAAAGGGGAGTAGCGGTTCCTTTCATAACCTGAGAGGAGGTTGGCTGTGCCTGTGAAGAGAGCTGTTACAGAAAGCACAAAATAATAAAAGGGGAGGAAAAAAAAAAGCATGCGGTCATGGTGAGAGCAATTCCAAATGCCAGGCAGCCTTTTCTTGGGATCAGACTAAGACTAGCTCGAGGAGACTAGCTCAGATGTGAGGCGGAGTTTGCCAACTCTGGCTGTTTAATTTGATGCGTGCGGGTGGTCCCTTGTGCACGCGGACCCTCCAAAACGGCCGCTGAGGAAGCGAACAGTCACTTGGCTTTTTGCAGAGGAAAATGCTGCACGGGGAAATGTGTTCTGAGGCTGATCAGCCCTGTGGTGGGGTCCTGATCCGCGTTTCACCTGGCGTTACTCGTCGTTTAAACCCTGCAAGCGCCGCGAGTATTAGAGAGGCATTTTTCCCACCTCTCTTTTAAAGGAAAAGATCTCAAATCGTAAAAAGGGACGCTGTTATGTGCAGCTTTATGGCACATAGAGGGAGAGGTTAGCAAGCAGGATTGCTGACTTAAATAAAAACTGGCCCTGATGGCTGCATTGAAAAATTGACAAATGATTTTATTTTTTTGTAATTTCCCAACAAAGTATCGTTAATTTAGTTGAATTCATCTAGTACTTGGCTGTACATTCGCACACGTGGCGCGTTTCCAAGGTTGGATTTTCTTGTCGAGTCCTCAAGAATGCTGAAGCCGCTAGCGAGCGATTTTGAAGAGGGCACGCGGGAGATGAGTGCTTCCGTAAGCCAAGTCGAACCTAAGGCAAACAGGCTTTGCAGCCCCCTCTCCCCGGGAAAAAAAAGAGATTTCTGGTGCCGTCCTGCAATTACAGTTCTAGTTAAATCTTTGCCCGCAGCTTATTGCTTTTGGCGGCCAAGCAAAGCAAGATTTCCCAGCTCTCTCGTTTTTTGGATTGCAGTGAGGCACCGGTACGTCAGGGCCTGGCTGCGAAGGCGGGAAAGCCGTTATTCCCTTCGTTTGCTGCGGGGAGAACGTAACGCGTGGAAGCGCCGACTGAATCTCGCTCTTTTGTTTGCAGGTCTCCGTGGTCAATCAGTTGGATATGCAAGTCATCGTCTCTAATGTTCCTCCCACCCTTGTGGAACAAAACAAAGATCAACTTATAGGGTAATGCATTTTTATTTACTCTATGACTGTCGGAAACTCGCTGCTTCTGTGTGTGGATTCAGCAAGGAGCGCTCCCCTTTATGCCGCGATCTAGAGCTTGTGGGGTTTTTTTGGTTTGTTTTTTTTTGTTTGTTTGTTTGTTTTTCCTTCCTTGAAAAGACCTAGGAATGAGCAAGCAAGTATTTTGATGGAGAGCAAAACCGGGTAGCCCTGGGCCCTCCGACACTTGGGTCCTTATTTTGTCCTTCCTCTGTAGAGAGGCAGAGGCATTTCGGTGCTTGCATGTGTTTGCTGTGTAGGCTCAAGCTAGGTTCGCCCCGAGTACAGAGCGTGGCAGAGCCTCAAAACGCTGAGCGCAGAACATGCATCCCCCAAAATGCAGAGAGAACGTAAATGCACGGAGGAAAAAGGAGGTAAAAAGAGTAAAGCGTTTCTCTGGAGGGGTGGGGCCGCGCATCCTGGTTCAGTGTGTTGCTTCGTTATGGCCCTATTTGGGTGACGTGGCTGCGAGCGAGGGCAGAATTTGGAAAGCCTCTGCCAGAACAATTAGTGCCAATAACGTCATGTAAAATGATCGTTGCGAAAGTTGTTAACGGGGTGTTGTGATTGAGGGCTAGCAGGCATAAAGTGTTTTGGCAGGGGACAGGGAATTGGAAGCACTGATGCTTTGTGATAAAAGCGAACTATTTTATCATATTAGAAGCCAACTGAAATCTTTTTGATAGGTATGTATTAATGGAGCTTGTATGCCACACCACCAGTACCTTCCGGGAGGAGTCAGGTTTTCATTTTTCGTTCCTTTTTGTAAGGCGAGGACAAATTGCCGTGCTCTGTGCCGTTAGGAATAGACCCATGAATTAGGCAACACAGGAGAGAACGTTATGGGAGATGGATTTTTTTCGGTTTGCTTTTTTTTTTTTTTAACGATGTGCGCTCTTCTGGCAGCTCGGTCAACCAGTGATGAATGGCGTTTCTCAGATATCAACAGACCTCTGGCATCCCCGCCTGTTGTCATACTTCTCCTTCTCCATGGACATTGCAGTACCATAGGGCTGGCGATATAATGGCTCCGTGGAAAAGAAGAGTGTCATCTCTCAGTGGCTCTTGTCACCTTCGGGCTAGGAAAAAGTACTAATGGGTTCACTCCTGGAGACTGAGGAAACATCCCCCTTCTCTCTCTCTGGTTTTGACCTGGGTGGAACTTAGCTGACGGGTTCTGATGTCAGCAAAGCTAACTGAGTTGCTCAGGCAGTAGTTTGTGCTTGCGGTGACTCTTTCTCCTAGAGCTAGGAATAACAAAGTCGCTTGCCTCCCTTCACGCTAAGATCTTGCTTTCAGAAAGCGTCAGATGTTGTGTTGGCTGGGGAGAAGAACCACCAGGTACCTTTTAGCGCTAGCGATAGGAAAAGTTCATTTCTAAGGCTATACTAAGGCTTCCCGTTCACCTCAACACGCTGCAGCACACACAGGTTTCTTTTTAGAGGACGAAATTTGTAGTCCTCCCAGGCGTCTGTTTTCCGGAGCAGGGAAGGAACGCCTGTTGTGCACCATGGGTTTCTACGTAATGTCGTGGGGAACTTACCGCCCTATATTGGACTTAGGCCGTGTTTGAGGCTCTCCCGGAGCTAAAGCAGCAAAATATCGATAGCTCTTACCGAAGGCGGTATGAAAACGGGGGGCTCGTGCCTGGCTCGGGTGAAGAGCATTGACTTTGCGACACACATCTCAGGGGACCGCGAGCAGCAGCGGGTCGGGCGTCGCGGGAACGGCCGGAGCAGGTAGCTTCTCTCGCCTTCACCGTCCCCACAAAATCTTTTGATAACGCCGTAGCAGCCCGTTTCCAGCTCCCAGCAGGCTTCAGCGGCGTTCGGCACCTCGAGAATAAATTGTGCTGTAACCATACCCCGAATCCTCTCTTTCCGAGCCCAGAGGAGTAGCTGGCGTATCCCGCCAGAGTCTTGGAAAACAGCCCAGAGCCACGTTCCTCAGTCTCCGTGCTCAAAAAAAATAAAATCCTTTTCTGCCAGGTTGGAGTCTTTTAAAGCTCTTTCATGCTCTTCGGGCCCTTCTGCAGGGAAGCCGCTGACAGATATGTAAATATTTCACAGTGAATGAAGCTTTTGGATGCATATAAAAATAAAATAGAGAACCGGGTTTTGAATGCTAAAAATGGGCTTGGAACGGCTTTACCTTTGCTAACGCCATGAGGCTGGGAAGGGAGGACAGCGTACAGATTTCGTTTCTGAAGACCGGCTTTTAAAGACGATCCTTGCCAGAAGAGGCTGCGTTAGCACTGTGTCGCAGGTGACGCGACCTTTATTGAGAATATTTGCAGAGACGGGAAGTCGCAGAAATGCTTCTGCGTATGTGTACTCGTCTGTTGGAGGCAGAAATGCATTTACTTCGTTGCCGTCTTCAGACTCCTTGGATTTAAAAGAGTATCTCACTACTTTTATTAAAGCTGTAGTAATTCACGCCGGACATAAAAATCGCAAATTCATATTGTTTTTCATGTGCTGTGCAGAAGATAGGCTCACAAGCATAGGGGAAAGCACATAATTTGCAGACCACCTCAGGCTACGGTATTTTTGCATGCAGAGTTTTCTGAGCTGTTTCACATAGTGAACGAAATTACAAAAATCAGAGCACTTTATGTAAATCATTAACAGGAAAAGACTGTATCGTTAACTAAATTAGTCGCGACGGAGGTTATTCAGCTCCTTCCCTTTTTTTTTTGGCATCAGAGTGATATTAAATACTAAGCTGAGAGAATACAATATTTAACCACCAGCTGCAACTCCTTGGCGATTGAGAATGTTAGGGAAGTGGATAGTCAGTCATTTTTGAAATTATAGCGATTTTCACAATCAGATAAATAGTGATTTGAACAACTCTGGGGAGCCAGTTATGACAAACTCTCCCCGAGCTGTGTGTAATTTTCACTAGAGAATGGCTAGAAACCTGTTAAGAATCTGTATGTCAGATCTTGCGCTTTGGGAAGGCTTGCTCGGCATAGCCGGAGGTGTATCTTGGTTAACGGTCCAAATAAAAGGAAATAGCCGCTAGAAGAGAAGATTTAAAACCGCACCATCTCTTTCGCTGTGGAGTTGGAGTTTTTTGAGAGATAAGACAGGTACCCTTAGTTAACATTTCTGATAGTGTCATGATCCCTTCAAGTCTCTCAGTAAGGTCTTTCTGCAGCTCCTTTAATTCGGTGATGTCAGAAAAAACGAAATGAGCTTTAGCAGAGAACTAAGCGTGTGTTCCCTTCCTCTGGACAGCTGTTCCTGGGGAAGGCAGAGAACAGTATTTGGAGGGCTTTTTCTTTAAATATGGCACTGTTGCTGGGTGAGCGCTTCCTTCCCACGCAAGGAGAAGCGTTCCAGTGGGAATGAAGTAGCCATCATCAGCCTCAAGCGGACCTGGGATCCTTCAGTTCTTTGGTTTCTGTGTGACTGCAGCTTCTAACCGTTGCTAGCATCGCGTGTGCCAACTTAGCAAAAGAGTGACGCCACGTGCACTAAATTCCTCCACGTGCACGTCTGTGGGAGAAAAATCCCTTTATGGGAAATAGAATAACGGAGCAGCTCAGAATGAGGGCTGTGATCACAGAATGGCCGAGGTTGGCAGGGACCTCTGGAGATCGTCTAGTCCAACCCTCCCTGCTCAAGCAGGGTCCTCTAGAGCGTGTTTCCCAGGATCGCGTCCGGGCGGGTTTTGAATATCTCCAGGGAAGGAGACTCCGCTACCTTTCTGGGCAGCCTGGTCCAGTGGTCAGTCACCTTCACAGGAAAGAAGGTTTTCCTCACGTTCAGATGGAACTGCCTGTGGTTCAGTTCATGCCCGTGGCCTCTTGTCCTGTTGCTGGGCACCACGGAGAAGAGAGTGGCCTCATCCTCTGGACACCCCCCCCCGCTTCAGATACTTGTACACGTTGATGAGATCGCCTCTCAGTCTTCAGATCATCTGGTCCAACCCCCCCCTGCTCAAGCAGGGTCACGTAGAGCACATAGCCCAGGATTGTGTCGTCGTTTGATGAAATACTCCATATATGCTCCTCCACAAAAACTCTGCAATCCCTACAAAACGGAGATAATATTGCTCAGGTGACCTTTCTTTTCGTTAGTTCAGTAGAGCTAGTCAAAACCGTTTGGGCGTCGTTTTCCGTATTAACGCTCTTTACGTTGTGTGTGCTTTCTGAGCTGGTCCGGTGGGTAAAGACATGTGCCTGCACTTGGGCATGCGACTCTGGAGCTGCTGAAGAGCAGTGTTCGGATTGTCTCCTCACTTGCAGAAGTCATTAGTTGGCCCGTGTTCTTCCTATCAACCCTCTTTTATATCTCGAGTGCAGTGACAATGGAAAGGAAGGAGGTTTTCTCACTAAACGAAGAAATCTCAGTTGGTAGAGTAGTAATCTTTCATTGGAAAGGGGGGATCTGATGGAGTTACCCCATACTGCAAATAAATATGCAGAAATACAATGCTAAATAATTGATTTATTCCGTTGAATAATAAACTACGTAACAATTACACCCGTCTACACACTGAAATTTTGACATTCTCACATAAGGAAATTTCTGTAGTCTCCTGTCTTTTCAGTGTGGTCTTGTTTGGGGCTCTCACACACACATTGGTGACAAATGCCTTTTCCTGTGTTTTGACTTCATTAAAGATAATTCACTTAATGGAGGTTATCAAGACAGAATTCCTGGAAACAGCTCATGGGATAATTCTCCGTAAGCATCTTGCGTGCTTATTTTGGCCCGTTGCAGGCCATCATCCTTTGAGTCATACGCTTGTAAATGAACAGAGCGCTTCCGTGGCTGAAGAACATCCACGCTCAGACTTCAAGTGCAGCATTGAAGTGACCAGGCAGCTGTGATGAGAAAACCCAAGCGTAAAAACCAGGGCTGTTCCTAGGAGGGAGACTGCGTGAGCATTTCGGAATACAAAGATTCTGTCTTCTACCTCTAGCAGTTGGCATATTTAAAGTGAATCGC